GTTACCAGGGACGGAGAGGAGGAGAAAAGCGAGTTGCTTAATAGTTAGACAGTTTCAGATTTGCAAGATAAAAAAGCTCTGGAGACTCCAAGTGTGAAATATCCACAGACCCAGTCAACCCATCCCAGCTTCTGCCAGAGAAAACTGGTATGAGAACAACTGGTTTGGAAATTAATTGCATTCTTTCCCCCACCCCCTTGGGCCATTAAATTTTATTGGCAGGTCAGGATAAGAGCCAGGGGTAAGGGTTCCTCCCTTCCCATTCCCTACCCAGGGTCTTCCTTCTGAAGGAGGCAGAAGCCCAGGAGCCTGCCACTCAGCGGACCTTGCAGGAGGGCAGGTTCCCCTAGGGATCTTTCTGGCAATCCGGCAGGATGTGGTCGGTAGTGATCTCCTGCTCAGGCCTCTGGCGGTCAGCACACACATCGCCCAGCTGGACTTCGGCACTGCTGCTCAGAGCCTTGATCCGCACCAGCTGGGCCTCAACGCAGACCTCAGTTCCCACAGTGCGCCTTCCAATGCGGCTTTCATGCAGAGCTACAACTGCAGAGGGTGCGCTGCCGGTCTGTGACTCGAACTTGCTCCTCTGGATCTGCTCCCTGTGGCCAGCGACCTTCCGACTCAGCTCCTCAGTCTGGCTGGTGACCAGGCTTCAGCATCTTGCGCGTCTGCTCAGCCATGACCTCATACTGGCTTCACGTGTCACCCAGGATCATGGCAAAACCGCGGCCTGGAGCAGAACCCACCTCCCCATTGACCTGGCCACCCACGGCACTGATTTCCTCATTGTGGTTCTTCTCCAGGTAGGCCAGCTCCTCCTGCAGGCCTCGGATGTGCATCTCCAGGTCAGCCCTGGCCGGGGTCAGCTCATCCAGCGCCCTGCACAGGCCTTGATATCTGCCTCCACACTCCTTCACAGAGCCTGCTCCATCTCAGACTTGGTTCGGAAGTCATCTGCAGCCAGGCGGCCATTGTCAATCTGCAAGACAATCCTGGAGTTCTCAATGGTGACACCAAGAATCTTGTCCCACAGGTCTTCAATGGTCTTGAAATAGTGGCTGTAATTGCAAGGGGGTCGGGCCCCTGCTTCTGATCCCAGTCGCATATCTTCACCTTCAGCTCGCCACTGGCCTCATCCAGAGCCTGCACTTTATCCAGGTAGGAACAAAGTGGTCGTGGATGTTCTACGTTGTGATCTTGGTGCCTTCCAGCCGGCTGTCAGACCCGCCCAGGACGCTGGCATCACTGCTGCCACAGCCCTGGAAGAGGATGAAGGTGCAAAGCCGTCAGAGGACACAGACAGGCCATGGACCCAGAGCCCCAGTGGATGCTGGGTCCTAGGAAGTTGCCCCCGACCCCAAAGTGCACGGAGCCACTGCCCAGACCCCAAAGGACTAAGAGACCAATGACTGGCGAAAGCTGCAAGAAGCTAGGGTGGGGCAGAGGAGAATGGTCCAAGGAGCTTCCATCGGCAAGAGGAATCAGAAATTTTAATTGCATTATTACCAATTATAAGAATTTTTGTGCTATGAGTGGATTTTGTGCTATGAGTGGACCCAAAAAAGGGCAGGTACAACACGAACACCACTGGTGAGGAGAACTTAAGGGGGACCAGGCTTCAAGCTCCCTAACTCACCATGGACTGCCATAGAATGTACACAGTCTTCATTCCCCAGAAAGCCAACCAAGCCCACCACTGGTATCCTACAAAAAGCTGTTCCCTAGCATTATTCTAGAGAGAACAACCCAGATGGGAAATATGTACTCCTGGGGAGAGATGAAGGAATTCCTAGGAGGACTGGGCAAACACTCTCAAAAGTTTGTTGGAAAGAAAGCAAAGAAGAGAATAATTAGGTGCTTTTATAAAGAGATAGGAAAAAGGTGAGAACAAGAACTGAGATTAGGAGTTAAGCATGCACATGACAGACCGCCTAGAAAGAATGTAATATCTAGAGCTCTTACTCACAGACAGTGGGACATGGCATATTTACCATATCGCTTTGTATTTTCCCTATTGTCGTATAATGTTTTCTGTAATTAATTACTCTAACCCTTTTATCAAAGTCTAATACAATCCAGCATTGTATAGTGATGACATACAGACTAAATGGACAGGTGAGTAAAAAAAAATTGAGGCCTCCTCACTGGTGGGAGCAGAATCCCAGACAGAGAACTATGTACAGAAGTTTCAGGCAGTGATCAGCTGAAAGTCAAATAGTATAGTCCATTGTATTCTATGGAGATGAGAACAGGGAGGGGGCACCCATACTTAAGAGAAGCTTCCAGGCTTGGAGCAATCTGGTACTTTTAAACACATCACCTCTTTTAGTCAAGCTTTGTATGGGGGCTAGATAGCAGCCCATTGAAAGAACTGGAGTCCCTGTTTTCTTAATTTCTATGTTGGATAGTTCCATATTTAGGAATCAGATGGGCAGCAGGTAAGTTATGCATTCTTCTGATAAAAGTTAAGCCTCTACCAGGACTCTCACTTGGTTTATAAAGTGAGCCACAGGAGAAACAGCAAACTCAAGTTTTCCTCTCAAAAAAGTCCTGTGTCACCTGAAAAGCTACTTAATACAAATTGTGTCCTAAATATGAAATCTAAAGTTGTTACTGTTTTGAAATAAAGTTTCAAGAGAATATATTTTATGTAACATTCAAATGAATGGAAACTTTAGGTATTCACTTAAGAGATTCACCAGGTGAAATAACATTCTCCACTTCAGAAAATGAAACCAGTGCTGTGATTAATAATAATCTCTAATATTTCTACATAATTTTGCTCCTAACAGTTGAGTTATATGCTCACCCAGTATGATTGCGGTATGTTCTGTTGTGCCAGTTGCATTATTATAATTACAAATTTGAGGAATAAAGTATATGAACTTATAAAATACAAACATTATTTTAAAACTCAGTTATTTAAAGTGCAATTACATATGTATACATATTTCCTTCCCATATATATGTATGGGAAGGAAATTCTGGCATGTGCTACAACATAAATAAATCTTGAGGATATTATGTGAAGTCAAATAAGCCAGACACAAAAAGACAAATATATGATTCCAGTTCTGTGAGGAATGTAGAATAGTCAATATTACAGAAACAGAAACTAAAACGGTGATTCCCAGGGTTGCAGGTAGAAGAACACAGGGACTTGTTCAATGGGTAGGGTTTAAATTCTGAAAGCTGGAAAGAGCTCTGGAGATGGATGGTGGTGATGGTCACACAACAATGAGAATGTCTTTAATGCCACTCAAAAACTGGTTCAGATGGTAAATTTTAGGTTGTGTGTATTTTACCACAATAATAATAGAGAAATTTAAAAAAAAACACTCAGTTTTTATCTAAAAGCTAGGCTAAAAGTCTTTGGAAAGAGTCCATGGAAACAAATCCCCTAAAAATGCCATTGAAGCCATTCTGCAATGTGGAATATTTCAGAATGACATGTTGCACACAATGTCTGTATAACTTTTTGTCAACTGAAAATAATGTGACCAATTAGATTAAAAAATATATTACTAATTCATGAATTAAAATATATTTAATGAGCTTAAGTTCATTGTATTTTCTGTATTTCTTAAACTCAAGGTATTACTGGGTGGTTTGAGGTGTTGATTTTCTGGCCAGAAACCTCCGTGGCCAGCAGCGAGTTCTTATCCTGCATCCAGGAAGAATGAGGTACACGAACAAATGAAGGAAAGACAAAGATGAGCTTACTAAGTTTTAGAACAGCTCGGAGGAGACCCACAGTGGGTAGCTCCTCTCTGTAGGCAGGTCTTCCCAACATCTACTGCTCTCAGCAGAGAGGAGGCCCCTGGAGCGGGTGCTCCTTGCTCCTCTCTGCAGGGCAGTCCCAACGTTTCTGCGGGTCTCTGAAGCTCTCAGTAGAAAGGGTAGTTCCTCTCTGAAGCTGGTTGTCCCATTGTCTCCTGCTATTAGCAGAGAGGGCATCTTCTTTCTGCAACTGGTCTTCTGGATGTCTTGGCAGGTCTCTGAAGCTCTCAGCAGAGAGGATAGTTCCTGTCTGCAGCTGGTCATCTCATGGTCTCCTGCTATCTGCAGAGAGAGTAGCTTCTCTCTGCAACTGGTCTTCCTGTCCCTCCATCCTCTCCCTTGCTCTGCCTGAGCCCGAGGCTTTTATAGGGCAGCAGAAGGGCCTTCAGATTGATCCATGGGCTGCCATGCGCAGGCCAAAGGAGGCACCGCAGGTTCTGGGGACTGGCAGCCGGGCTCCCAACCTTCAGGTCCTCCCTGGCCTGAGGGTGGGACCTAACCAGTGACTGCCCCCTTCCATCCAGGAATCTGCCTGCCTCCCGCTGCCATTCATGGCCCTAGGGGTCAGCCCCAAGATTGGAGCGGGCTCTAGAAAGGCTAGGCAGTGGGAGCAGACAACTTCTAGCTTGCAGGGACGAGGGAAAGGGAGGGTCTTCCCAGCCCTCAAGGGTGCTGGCTGCAGAGATTCCTGGACCTGCGCCTCGGAGGTTGCCGCAGCTGCACCAGTGGAGCTCCCACCCAGCCAACTGGGAAGGGGCGGGGTTCCCACTTGTCCTGGCTCCTGCCTGCTCAGTGGAGCGGGAGGCCCAGGTCTGCAGCCATGGGTGGTGGGTACTGCAGCTGCACGGGGAGGGTAGATCTTGCCTGCTCCCGGCACCCTCTAAGAGCACAGGGAGGCTCAGGTCCACAGCTGCAGTTTGGGCGGGGCTCCTTCCTGCTCCGTAGAGCAGGAGGCCTGGGTCTGCAGCCTCAGTTTGGGCAGCTGCAGTGGCATGGGAGAAGCTCTGGCCCCAACTCCGAAGGGGAATAGCTCCCACCAGCTCCATTGCAGTCAGTCATCCGTGGTATCCCATCTCTGGCCAGTGGAAACCTCTTAATGCATTTCCCGTTTGCCCCCAGAATCCTCTTGTCTCGAATCCTAATATAACATCACGTACATGTCTGTTACATTAGGATTAGAGACAAGTTCTGTTTAGAAATAATTCCAAGAACAGGTTTTTTATTTTATTTTCACATTGAAAATCAGTCAGACTTGCTTCAGCCTCAAAGAATGTGTTTACGAAAATTAAATGAATGCTGGCAGGGAGCTGCACTTTTTCTAAACAGGAAATGGGTTAAGGGCGGCAGGGGAGTGCTTTTGACATAATCCCTGTAGTCTTTGGCAGCATTCTTTCTGTTTGGTAGGATAAGATATTCCAGGCTTATCTTGCATTTTCTGAAAGAAAAAAAAAGCCACTGAATTAGGCACAGAGGAAATTACTATAAAGTTTAAGGGATAATGTAAAGGATCTAGGAAAATACCCTAAGTGCTTCACAAACAAGGAAGAAACAGAAATTAGAAATGTAGTCAATTAGTATTGCTGATGTGCTTTATGCAAAATAGTATATTACTTCTCTCTTATCTGCAGTTTTGCTTTCTGTAGTTTCAGTTACCTTTGATCATCCAGGGTCAAAAATATTAAATGGAAAATGCCAGAAATAAACAATTCATAATTTTTTTTTTTTGAGACGGAGTTTCACTCTTGTTGCCCAGGCTGGAGTGCAATGGTGCCATCTCAGCTCACCACAACTGCCTTTCAAGTTCAAGCAATTCTCCTACCTCAGTCTCCCAAGTAGCTGGGATTATAGGCATGCGCCACCAGGCCCGGATAATTTTGTGTTTTTAGTAGAGATGGGGTTTCTCCATGTTGGTCAGGTTGGTCTTGAACTCCCAACCTCAGGTGATCCGCCCTTCTCAACCTCCCAAAGTGCTATCTCTATATAGCTAAGTAGCTATATTGTGTTTATGTTAATAATGGTCCCAAAGCTCAAGAGTAGTGATGCTGGCATATTCTTATGATTGTTCTATTTTATTTCCAGTTTTGTTACTCTCTAATTAATCTTAATTTATAAATTAAACTTCATAAAGTACATATGTATGGGAAAAATCACAGCATATATAGGCCTAGATAACATCTGTGGCTTCAGGCAGCTCTTGGAACATACACCCTTAAGATAAGGGGAACTACTGTATACAAGATTAAATAAGGTCACTTAAAATTCATTTATAAAATCATGTCCTAAAATATTTGTACCAATAACAAGATGTAATCGAATTATTTTATCTCATAAAAATGAACGTTTTACTTTGCAATAAAAGTTAAAATATGTTAGCAATCTATATCATTTTGTTGAATTACATGGAAAAAGTTACATTATGATGCAGTTATTTGTAATTACTGCCAAAAGTCAAAAACCAGTTTGATGCATACACCTTAAATACCATGCCTTTTTATATCCTTTTCTTTATAAATAATTTGTAATATTATCTTCAAATTATACTGCATTACCTTAAATTAAATAATGAGTACATATGTATAACTTGCTTTGAAAATACATGAATTATGAAAGCTACACTGTTTCAAACTTAACAGCTTTCAATAATACCTTATAAAATATATTCCATAATTAATTTTTTTTTTGAGACAGAGTCTTGCTCTGTTGCCAGGCGCCAGGCTGGAGTGCAGTGGTGCAATCTCGGCTCACTGCAGTCTCCACCTCCTGGGTTCAAGCAATTCTGCCTCAGTCTCCCAAGTAGCTGGTACTACCGGCGTGCGCCACCATGCCCAGCTAATTTTTGTATTTTTTAGTAGAGATGGGGTTTCACCATGTTGACCAGGATGGTCTCAATCTCTTGACCTCGTGATCTGCCCGCCTTGGCCTTTCAAAGTGCTGGGATTACAGGCGTGAGCCACTGCGCCAGGCCCATAATTAATTTTTTTATAAATTTTTATAATATTACTGTAAATTGTGGGTTTAGGAACTCACAATTCAACTAACAGTAAATTAATCTTTTAGCATGACAAAAGTCAAATAAATTAGAACATCTAAATCCCTTAGAAATGTCTCAGCCCATTTATATAGTAAGTACTACATAATTGCTGGCTGTCATTACTTGTTACTGTTGTAGCTATTGTTGTCAGCACCATTATCATCAACATCATCAGAGTAATCAAGTAAAGCTGACAAACAACTTCATCTTTCCTACTTTGAAATTTTAACTCCAGTGTTTGCTCCTGAACTAAATAGAACTCTCTAAAATGAAAGTTCTGACACTGGAAAGTTCCACAGTGAACATGAGAGCCACAGTGAACACACAGGACTCCTAGGGTTAAGAGTCACGAATCAACCCTGTGTGTGCAACACACACACACACACACACTTATTTTGTGTTCATCAAAGGAAAAGTCATCCTGAAACATTTCCCCCACCTGGTTTTGTATTCTAAAATAAACTACAGATGAAGATTAAAATTTGAACACAAACACTTAATGTAGGAAAAAATGTAGAATTATACTTTTACAATTTCAGGATGCATATGCAGAAGGACTTCTTAATCAGAAAATAAACAAAGATAAAGCATAAATAGAAAGTTAAACAAAGATAAAATATAAGCAACAGAGTTCCTACAAGTGACAATGATGTTGAACATCACTAGTAATCATGAACTTGAAAAAGAAAAGACAAAATAGATCATACTCCCTTCCCAATCAGATTGGTAAAATTTTGAAAGATAAGTGCTGGGAAATTACATACACTTAAGCATCGCTAGTGAGAAGGTAAGTTGGCAGTCATTTTAGAAAGTTGATGAGAAGTATCTATACGTTTAAAATTCATATACTCTTTGACATAGCAAATTCACAGTGGGGACAGATTCATTATACAAAAATACTTCTACATGCCCAAAAGTATATATATGTAAGGACAGCCATTGAATTCTATTGCTTGTGGTAAATTGTTTTAGTCCCAACACTAATTCCTCTGTAGCAAAACATAGGATCTAGTAAAGTGGATTATGTGTGCAAATCAGTCCTCTTTAGAAACGTAAAGGAGCAAGTGTATCCTGATTACAAAGATAGAACACTTTCTAAACTTTTCGATAATTTTGAGAAATGATGGAAGCATATTAGAACGAAAACAACCGGAGGATTTTATGCTTTTATCTTTGTATATTCAAATATCTTTTCTCATTAAAAATCAGATAGGCCAGGTATGATGGCTCATGCCTATAATCCCAACACTTTGGGAAGCCAAGATGGGAAGATCCCTTGAGGCCAGGACTTCAAGACCAGCCTGTGCAACATAGTAGGACCCTGTCTCTACAAAAAGCTTAAGAAAAAAAATAGCTGGATGTGCTGGAGTGCACCTGTAGTCTTAGCTACTTGGGAGGCTGAGATGGGAGGATCACTTGAGCCCAGGAGTTCAAGGCTGCATTGAGCTATGATCTCACCACTTCACTCCAGCCTAGGCAACAGAGCAAGACCCTGTCTCTGAAAAAAATAATATATATATATATATATATATATATATATATATATATATGTTTATGAGATGGCACAAATGAGAAAAACTCTACTCTTTGATCTTTGAATTCATCTCTGTAGGCACCTATCTCCCTCACTCCAGGTTTTGCCCAAGATACTTGTGCAAAGACAAAGCCAGTGAACCCTCTAATAGAGTAAATATGGTTATGCCACCTACTGAGCTTTCTAAGTTTGAAGGTGGTTAATATGTAACCACTTGAAATTGACATTATCATCAGAGTCAGGAAATGTGAGAAGGGTTAAGTGTTCTCTTTTTTAGGACAATGTGCATTAAGTGTACAACTGGTACAATTAAATAAATTATGTTCCATCCCTGGAAAGCCCTACAGCAACACAAGGGAAAAATTTTATTCTATTTATTTTTATTAAGGCCCATCTACCTCCTAATTCTAATTTCTCTCATTTCCCAAACATTCCTTATTTGTTCTTAATGTTGTGTGTTGTCTTGTATTTTGCTACTCTTCTTTCTTTTCCATCAACTATATTTTTCCCTTACTTTATTTTCTCTTTACCCCTTCAGCTCAGCTTTCTAGCAGCATTCACTACATACTGCAAAACTGTGTAGGACTTGTTCAAACTGTGTGCTCCCTTTTCTGTCAAGAACTTGCTACTCAGGTAACCTAACTGGTGATTTTTCCTGGAAATGCTGATGAATGCTGTTCCTATAGCAAAACCCAGAACAGATAGGAAATAGATGTCATCCTCAGTCATTAGGATTCAAACCATAAAAATTAACTTACGGCTGGGTGCAGTGGTTCACGCCTTTAATCCCAGCATTTTGGGAGGCCAAGGCAGGTGGACCATGAGGTTAAGAGATCGAGACCATCCTGGCCAACATGGTGAAACCTCGTCTCTACTGAAAAATACAAATTAGCTGGGCATGGTGATGCATGCCTGTAATCCCAGCTACTTGGGAAGCTGAGGCAGGAGAATTGCTTGAACCCAGGATGCGGAGGTTGCAGTGAGCCACGATTGCACCACTGCACTCCAGCCTGGTGCCTGGTGACAGAGTGAGAGTCTGTCTCAAAAAAAAATTTTTTTTTAATTAAAAAAAATTAACTTACATTGGAATAATAAGGATCAGAATGCTAGCGTCTTGTATGAAACTACCCCATGAAGCTGAGACCACAAGTATTATTGCCCCACTATTGGCATGAAAGCTGAGGTTGAGGGCAGTTAACTGAGTTACCCAGGACCGCACGGCTCAGTTAGAAGTAGGGCTCAGGTGTCATGGCAACTAACTGGTCTAGTTATTTTTTCCCTCAAGTTCATTTTCCCTCTGATAAAGAATATGGGGCTCTGTCTTGGTGAAAGGGGATTTCTAATAACACTTTCCTCTTTATCTGTGATTATAATGAATGTAGCATCGCTCCCATTAAGGATCATTCCTCCACCCACATTCTTAACACATCTGCTGCATGCGTCCTTCAGAGACCTTCCTCTGGGATCATCCCTAGTCACTCCCAAAAGCTCAGCCTGTCGATCATTTGCACCTCCCACTCAGCATTTTTAGAAGCAATATTTCTTTCAAATTTGTTTAAGTCTATCTGGACCTAAAGAAATGTTCCATTGGCCGGGCGCAGTGGCTCAAGCCTGTAATCCCAGTACTTTGGGAGGCCGAGGCGGGTGGATCACGAGGTCAAGAGATCGAGACCATCCTGGTCAACATGGTGAAACCCCGTCTCTACTAAAAATACAAAAAATTAGCTGGGCATGGTGGTGCGTGCCTGTAATCCCAGCTACTCAGGAGGCTGAGGCAGGAGAATTGCCTGAACCCAGGAGGTGGAGGTTGCGGTGAGCCGAGATCGCGCCATTGCACTCCAGCCTGGGTAACAAGAGCGAAACTCCGTCTCAAAAAAAAAAAAAAAGAAAAGAAAAAAGAAATGTTCCTTTCAGCCTGGCATCTCCATTAGGTTGTGCCCTGTTGTTTTTCTCCCCTTCAGACAAACTGCAAATCTGGCTCTAGTTCCTCACATTCCCCACTCCCCTCAGCAAGCCTCTGCCCCACACCAATCCAAATGTCCTTGTCCCTAAACCCAGCAGAAAAAAAATCAATCTGTTATTTGATTGCACAGAGGCACTTGTCATGGGTGGCTAGGAATTTATCACTAACAACCTTTATAGATTATCTTTGTAATTTACGGTGAGGCATCAAATGAATGCTATTAACATTAATCCCTTCTATTTTAAGTAATTAATCTTAGAAGTAAGTGCTCACTTATTTCTAGCTTCTTAAAAACAATTTAAATTGTTATATTTTTCATCAATATAGTATAAAATCATACAATCATTTATAATAATTTTTTTAATGTGTGCTGTCAACATTGATGCTTTGGTATAAAGTCATGATCACTGTGATTTAGTAACACTCTTCTATTGACTGTTTTCTAACTAAAGCAGCCCCTTCCTTGGGACTCAGAGGCCTCACACTCTCCTGCCTGTTTTTTCCTCTCTAACCGGCCCTTCTTGCTCCATTTGGGTACTCCTGCCCACCTAGACAAGGGTATTCTCTGAAACTCTGTTTTGGGCTTTTTCTCTTTTCATCAACATCTTCTAACTGGGTATAATTATCAATTTCCATGGCATCAGCTTGCCCAATATACTGCTAAACCCATAGTCTGTTTAAGTAGAGCAGATCTCATCAAGTTAGTAGCATTCAGTCTGCTTTTAACCAAAAATAAGGGATTTTGTACATTTTCAGTAAGCAGTTCCCAATGTAACACTGTAATCACATTTTCACAATTGTGGCCTAGGCCATTCATAGTTAAGGATACAGATGATTGAGATAGAAATAGTGACAAAGAAAAATGAAGGTTAGGATGTAGGTTTTAATGCTGTAACAAACAGACCTCAAAATACAAAGGCTTAACAAAGAGAATGCATTTCTCTGTCACATGAAGTCCCAACTAGAGTAGCCTTTTGATGATTCCAGGGTTTCGGCTTTATCTTCTTTGTGGTTCTGCCTTCCTTGACACATGGCTTCCATCTGATGGCTACGGTGGTAGGTCTGACTATGGCCAGCACGTCCACATTCCAGCCTGGGCAAGGAAGAAAGGGGAAGCACAGAACTTTACCCTTCCTTATGAAGGTCATGATCTGAAAGTCACATGTATCACCTCCACTTGCCTTTCAATCACCAGAACATAGTCATATGCCATACTCAGGGAGAGGGTTAAGAAATTAAAGTCAACTAGATAGTCTGCACCCAGCAAAGGCTCAGGAGTTCTACTATTAAAGCAGAATTGGAGTTGTGGTAACAGGAAATGACCAACAGCCTCTAATGCGTGTATATGAAACTGATGTCTCCCAAATCATTACTCTCGCTTACTCTGTCTGATACACTGCATTTTTTTATTATATTCGATTTCATTTTTCAAAATCCTGATCATGCCTCACAGGTCATGATGCTATAACCCACTTAGTTGGTGATGCCATAATTTGAAAAATATTGCTGTAAGCCTGTATTATATCTAATATTGGCCACTTGAAGTATGCCTAGCCTAAATTGATCTATGTTGTAAGTATAAAATTCACACCAGCTTGTGAAAACAAATTATTAAAAAAAGTATTTGCAATATCAGTAATAATTTTATATTGGCCAAATGTTGAAGTAATCATATTTTGGATATACTGGATTAAATAAATACACTATTAAATTAATTTAACATTTATCTTTATGTGGTCACTAGAAAATTTAAAATTACATAGGGGGCTCACATTATATTTCTATTATATCACACTGCTCTAAGCTCAAGATTCAAATGTCAATATAGTGTGAATATACCTCAAGCACTTTTTCACACTGTACTCCATTTTCTCAACCTTCAGCCCTTCTGTTCTCCTCTGCTCCCACTAATCTGTGTTTCCTCTGTCTCACTCACTCAGCTAAAAGGAACACAATTCACTTACTCAGCTAAAGGCAACACAATTCACTCAGTGACCAACCAGGAAAATGGAGAGACACATTTTCCTTTATTCCTCACATTCATATATTCACTGAGCACTATCATTACCCCTTAAATATGATATAAATCTGCAAGCTCTTTTCTATACCACCACAAATACCATAGTTCAAAATGCCATCAGGTTTCACCTGTATTATGACACCAACTCCCATCTGGTCTTCCTGCAGCCTGGATCACCTCTTTCTAGTGGCTCTTTCAAATTTCACTAAGAGCAAGTTTTGCAGGAAACAAACCTGAAGTCAACCCACTGATTACTCCTCTGAATACCTTAATATTGTTGATGAGTTCCTTTCTGATTTGAAGCATCAAAAGGAGTATTTCCTCCTTACCAAATAGTTTTCATTTCATGCATGTGCCGTGATTGTTCTCCCTCCCGGAACTTTGCATACGTCATTCTTTATGCTTAGAAAGCTCTTTTTACCTTTTTGCTTTTCTAGACAACCATTACTCATACTTCAAAGCTTAATTTACATTTTGCTTTCCCTCAAAATTCTTTTACAAGGTTCCAAGTCTGGGTTATGTGCCCCTTTTATGTGCTCCTAGAGCATCCTGAACTTCTCCAATAAAAATGTTTGGCTACTGTATTTTATTGCTTGTTTTTCTGTCTGTTTTTGCCCCCACAAGAATGTAAAACCTTCAAGTGCCTCTCTGTTTTTATACTTATTTGACCACTCTATCTCTACAATCCTGCATGATGTCTAGTCCCAACAGGATAAGTAAATACTGACAAAGCAACTGAATAGCTACATGAATAGGGGGATGAATACATGCATGGATGGATGAAACTGTTTTTATGACTTAAAGGTTGCTGAGAAGTATCATATTTAGAAGGCATTAGGGAAGGTTGTACAGTCGATGATAAAGGCAATGGGGAAGTTTGCTAGGCACAGTAGGTCAAAATTTGTTTCTGAAGTCTTGTTACTTCACCTTTCTTAGTTTCACTTTCTTAAAACAGAAAACGCTTTTCTATGATCATTCTTCCAGGGCCAGGCTCTTCATCTGCAATCCAGTAATATTCCTAATGTCAAAAACCTTCTGGCTTAGTTCACATTACTTTCAAAGAGGACTACTGAATTCTGAAGTGGCTTCAAACCTTTAGGGTAGGGATATCTAATGCAGAACTTACAGCCACACTGACTTGTACTGAAGTATCTATTTAGAGCCTGCCCAGTGTTGCTTAAATTGTAGTCTCCCTTGCCCACTATTCATAGAAGAGATGTGAGAAGCACCATAAAAGGCGTTCTGAGGAGTTGTGGGGGAGTGAGGGAGAGAAGAGGTTGAAAAGCTGATTAGCTGCTTTACAGTAAAACCCAGAGAGAGTGAGCTGTTACGGGAAACTGGTTTCAGCCCTCCAGGGATTCTATTTAGCCCGCCAGGAATTAACTTTGACTATAAATAGGCCATCAACGACCTTTCCAGAAAATGTTCAGAGACCTCAACTTTGTTTAGAGACCTTGTGTGGGTGGAACATCCTGTTTGCACACAGAGCAGCATAAAGCCCAGTTTCTTTGGAAAGTGTTTGGGACCAGATGGATTGCAGGGAGTAGGGCACAATACAGTCTGGTCTCCTCTGGCTCCTTCTCCCTGCAACATGGGGAAGAACAAACTCCTTCACCTAAGTCTTGTCCTCCTCCTGGTCCTCCTGCCCACAGAAGCCTCAGACTCTGGAAAACCGTGAGTTCCACACAGAGAGCATGAAGCATCTTCATTTACTGAAGATTTTTCTTTATATCATTTATTTTTCTTTCCTATGATACTACCACCTTCTTATCTCTAATGTTGCTTCCAGATTCTGTAAATCTGGTTTACTCTTAATCATTCTTCGTTGCTTACTCTAAATCATTCTTCCCCAACTCTACAGATCTCTGAATCTCTAACATGCAAAGCCTTCCTTAAGGAGTGTCAGAAATAATTTTTTTTAAAAAAGAATCATTTTTAGATTTTCATACTCATATTAATCTACTTGAGGCCATGATATTTATCTTTTACTTCCTCTTTCTTAAGGGCCCATTTTCTATTTTATAAAAACAAAGACAAGTCTCTCCCACAACCAAACATGGAACTATGCCCTGGAGTATAAAAATCTGTAGGCTGCCAAATAAAGGAAAGATTTGAAATATTGGTGTTGATATTGAAAAAGCAAGGGACTCTATTGTCAGAAGAGAAAATCCTTTTGCAGATGAGGTGGTGATGAATTCTTTGTTTCAACAAAACTGACGGAAGAACTAAAGGAAATACCAGCTGATGAATGATGAGAAGCAATTCTTGATAATAGAGTACTAGGTGACTTTTAGCATGTAATGCACAAGTTGCCAGACGGTAACAGCGAAACAATGGTTTTACCTGCCATTTACCTACTAGTATGTGAACCATTCTTCTTAGCACTTATATCTACACAAAACAAGAACAGTAACAGAATTAATGTTAGATCTTGTTTAATTATTGCAATAAGGACTATGCATCCATGGGTACATAAATTCACTGGAGGAAAAACAGCTTATCATTCTCATTAAAGATGTGCTTCAAAAGTATTTTAATTTTATATCTAATATGTATGAATCATACTTCGTAATGCATTTTGTTTTGATCAGTTACATACAATTATTTTTGAAAATAGTTCAATTAGAAGAAAATGTTTAATATTTATGAATGTATGGTCACATTCTATTTAAAAGAGGAGTTAAAGTTAAATTTATCTATCCACGTATGTTTATATATACATATGTATTTATGTATACATATATATTATGTATATATGCAAATATATGTATACATACATTTATGTATAGGTGCTTGATAATGAAGTAAGAATGATTCACAAAATATTTTGAAGTGTAAAAGTTTAAGAAAAATTTCTGTATGGCAATTGGTATGGAAATTCAAATTCAAGGAGGTAAAAACAGAAAGCTGTTAAATAGGCGACCATTAAAATAACTTTTTAATGTATTTTTACATAGCAATAGTAAGTATCTTATCACTATAGTGTTTATTATTTCATTAGAAAATTATAAAAGTAATCTAAGCATTAATTTTAAATATCATCAAAAATAATATCTTTTGCTGTTCTTTAAAATCATAATAAAAAATATGTTTACTTGAAAATATGTAAGGAGTGCACAGTGTCCAAAAATTATTTTAGACATTCTGTGAGCAAAAATGTATAAAAACTACAAATTGATCATAAATTATATATCAGGGTACTGAGCAAGTTTCTGTACTGCACATGAGTTACCAAGATCTAAAGTCCATCACTAGAGGACATTTCTGGATGAAGCCATTGTCTAATCATGAGCTGAAAGGCAAATATCTAAAACGCAAACATCCATGATTAGGTAATGCTCTAAAACTTTATTAGTTGCTTACCACAACTGAGACTTTAAAGTGATGGCTCCCTTTGAGGCTCAGATTCCATATCTTTGGAGTGGAAGCAAGTATTAGCATACAATTTTCATAGGGCTGCTGAATGTGTATATGTATGTGTGTGTATATACATATGCATGTATACATATATTAATGAAAGTTCTATAATTCAATTAGTTTTTGTAATGTCTGCATGACTGAGAGCTTACGTTTTACAGCAATTTGAAGATAAAATAGATTTACAGCATCCGCAAATGTAACTACATATTTTTATTTGAATTCGGATATTCACAAATTGTTTCTTAAAGAGAGGTATGCCTACAAGTTTTAATCTGTTTAAGTCCTACCTCAAGTAAAATGTTCACTGCCATGGCATGTGAGGGAAAGGGGGAATAATTCTTATGCATGGCCTTCAACAGCCAAATTTCATGCTCCTCAGTATGTCTTCTCTTGGTGTAGAACAGATGATGATAATTACTATGATGGAAAATAGTGCTGTTAATAGCAGTGCCTGCCTTCCTTTACTTTCCGCTAACTGAACCATCTCATTCCCAGGCAGTATATGGTTCTGGTTCCCTCCCTCCTCCACACTGAGACCGCTGAGAAATGCTGTATCCTTATGAGCTACCTGAAGGAGACAGTGACTGTAAGCGCTTCCTTGGAGTCTATCAGGGGAAACAGCAGCCTCTTCACTGACCTGGTGGCAGAGACGG